GGAAGGAGGAAAAGATGAAACTTGGAGCTTTCTGAGTTTATCACCAAATACTCACCCTGTACATTCTCCTAATGCAAAGTTCCACTAGTAGCCTGTAAATAAGAAAGGAATAGCAGTGACTACAAGTTTCATGTCACCACAGAAAAAGCATTTATTTGCAAGTGACTTTGTGAGTTCATTTGGAAGAGCTGTTTCTTCCCTTCTCTCTGTCTCGAATCAGAAAATACTAGTAAGAACTTTTTTAGTATAGTTGTTTCTGAGTTTCTTACTTAGCTCTGAGCACCTCAGAAAAGTTCAGGACTGACTTTCAATCAGGCATTTTTAAATTGTTTTTAATTTATCTGAAAACAGGCTAAAGAGTTTAATTAACAGGCTCAGAGTAATAGTTATACCATTTTTCCTCTGCTATCAGCTTTCACTTTTATTTACGATGGGAGTCCCCCTTGTAACTCCTTTCCCACAGGGCCCACTATCACTAATATTTCTGTGATCTGTGAATAAACCAAAATTTAAAGTTAGTACTTACAATCAATGCAAATTAATGATTTTTTAAAAAAATATTTCAATCAGGAAAAGCAGCTTTGTAGTTGAAAATCCCATGCTGGCCTTAGAGTGGGAGTTTTTCCAGCTTCTGCTTAAATCCAAAAAAATACTGCAATCTTCTGGCACAGGCTCACTGTAATGCTTTAAAAACAATTTAGCAACTGTCATTGCTGTAATTACAGTAACTAATTACCATCCTTAGCAAACAAATAGCTTAACATAATACGCAAGCCGAATCAATTTTGAAGAAATGCAAATTCCGAAAGCGAAAAAGGGCATTTTGGCAAACCTGAAAGAGAAGCGGGAAAATAATACACTTTGTTTTATCTGCACATAATTCCCAGGGAATATCATATCATAAATATTTGCATTCAGTTCTTATCAGGACATTTGCATTTGCTTCTTATCAGTCTGCAGGCCGGACTCTGCCAGATAGAGAGTAGAGCTCCACACCATGCACATATTTCTAATGAATCACGTCTCAGGCCGAGAGAATATTTTGGCTGAAACTTTATCACTGAGATGAAGAGGTCATTTACTCTCAGAGCTGGTTCATCTTGGAATTGTCTTGAGATTTTAATGTGATTCAACCAACATTTTTTAAAACAAAAAAGCAAACCAACTTTACATGCTGCTCATTTCTGTAGCACTTATTAAGTCTGATTGTCTCAGAAGTAATTCCTCCCCCCAAAATCAAAATCATATGTAAACAGGTTTGATCCATATTTGTGTCCCACACTCTGTAACAAACAATGCTGCACATTTTCCAGTGTACAGAAAAAAGAATAAAGCAATAACAGACTAAAAATAAAGACTAAGAATGAAACAAGCTGCAGTTTACAACCATTATCTTGAAATTTAATGTCAAATCCTTTTGTAGTACTTCAGAAATACGTTTGATTAGTGGCAGTTTTCTCAGTAATGAGAGGAAATGTTTATGATGTGAAAACAGTCTCTCTAATGAGCCATCAGATTTCCTTAGCATTTTTCTCAGAAAAAAATGCTTTTTCACCTTTTTCTTATGAAAAGTGCATCTCACCTGTAAGAAAAAGGAATGAAAAAATAAATATATGTGAAAGTGGCATACATTTTCCTGTTGCTAGCTTGGACACACACACAAAAAGAACATACACCAAAAGCACTGAATCACCTCGATTCGGCATTCTGTATTTTGCATGTATTCAAGAAGGTTTTGTTTGTTTTTACTTGAAATACAAGTGTGAGCCCATAAGTACATTCTGTGATGGCAAAAAAATCACCCAAGACCTGCTATACTTAAGTATAAAACTGATAACCTGTACACACCATCTGGGAAAAGGCAGATTTTGCACATTAATTCAATGGTATAATATTTCCAAATATTTTAATTGAACTGCATAATTATTTTCTGTGACTTTGGTTCAGTGCCAGAATACCCCCCCCCCCCCCTCTTTTTTTTTTTTTTTTTACTTGGGATTGGTGTATTGCAAGTAGACTGAGTCAAATCATCTCATTTTCAAGGGGTGAAATTCTAGTAAGCATCAACAAAATCGCCCAGAAAAATTGGTTCAGGGCCACAATCCCCCCCCCCCCCCCTTTTTTTTTTTCTATGTATATTTGTAGTCCAATTCAGAATTTAAAACAACTTTTATCCCAAAGTATGCATTTTCAAGCCACATAAATTACCACTTCCAAGTTCCTGAAGTAGTGCAATAGCCAGACCCTGACCTGATGCAAATTGATTTTCTTCTGTCCAGTGTTGCTCTTTAGACCAGCTGACTATTTGGCACTATTTATTTTTATATAAGTTCTGGAAAGCTAAATCTTGTCTAGTGCTATATGGTGTGTGATTTCTTTTATGTGTTGTAACACAGCAAACAAATTTGTCTCCTGGTCATTTGAAGCAGTACAAAACCACTTTAAAACAGATCTATTTTTTTTCTTTATAATGATCACTTAAAGTTAGCTTCACCTGATGCCCAAGTATTCCACTTTGATTTATTTGTTGAAACACACTGTGCGGTTTCTAATTCATTGTTACTCAAATGACTGATACAGCTCATTTGGACCAAGGAAAACATTGTATCAGTGGTGTCAGAATTATCTGAAAAAAGTCATGCTGCTGTTGCCAAACTTGGGATGCTTCTGATTATATACTGGACCATTATAGAATGAATGCTGTCCTGCCCTTTCCTGCTGCAATATTTGGATGCATTATTGCAGTGCTGTAAGCATGGGACAGACTAATGACTGCCATTCAGCTGTAACAAAGAAGTGAAAATATGTGCAACAAACATGCAAGAAGAACTGATGGAGGTCCACAATTCCAGACATCATCCTGTCACTGCTTCTATAGAACAGTTAGCTTCACCTAAATTTCCTCCTTTCCAGCAGCAAAGACAGCAACATTCTCAAGACCTCTCAGAGATCTTCAGAATAAGTACATATCCGAGCTCCTGAACATTCCCCACACACATATAGTGGGTACAAAGAGGAAAAAACAAAACAAACAAAAAAAAACCCAAAAAAACCCCCACAATAATAATCTCTCTCTAATATCCTTCTATGGAATCAAATGTGATTTTGTTGAAAATTAAATGTGGCATTTGTTGCAAAAATAGAAGAGTTAAGCTCTTGTTTCTGTGTTGGTGAACATATGACACTTCAGTCAGTGATAATTTAGTTATTTTAGCTCACTGGGAGCAGTTTCATCCTCAACCACAGCCTTTTTTTCTACTTATCTCTCATTTTAAATTACATTCATTTTAAACTAGTGCAATGCAAACACCATTTTGAACATGCAGTTGAATTCAGTAACTCATCTGGTCTAGAAATCATCTCTATGGTTCATGTTTTATCATTTGTTTTTAGTTCTTTCTTTGAGGTGGGAAGGGCTTACAGTTAAGAGTCCATTATCAGAGTGAAGGATGCAGGAAATCCAAAATATTTATGTTTGTTCATGGCACATGGACAAGAAACAGTGCTCAGGAAAAGGGTTTTCTGATTAAGTGATTGAAAACACTCTGGTGTATGTTAATGGCTTCTTCTGTCCAACAGATAACATCATCTTTAGCCTTATCACTGTTCTTGAACTTATTTTAAACATTCTCCTGTGCTCTTCCAATTATATACTGTGCTCTTTTGGCATCCTGTCTCTTCACTGTAAATCATCTCATTTGTTTGCTTTCTGATTATTTTTTTTTTTTTGCCAGCAGGTTGGGTGTAAAAAGAAGTATTTAACAGACACTTCAAGTGAAAAAATACTTTTCTTAGTGAAATTAATTTACATGGAATTAAAACATAGACTTATAGAAAAAGAAAAAATTGTTTTAAAAAGTAAAATCCTTGAATTTTAATACCTTGATATCATTCTGGCTTCATGAACACCGTGAAAAAATAAAGGAAGATTTTATCATTATTTAAATGTATGCAGAAGACTTCCAATAAGATAAAATTAGGTAAGATCATGCTAGATCACAACTTTTTAAGTACTGAATATGTCCTTGCCTTTTAGCCTGTAAGAATTTCTCCAGGATAAGACAACATGAAGGCTTTTGCAGCAATCAGAGTATGACTAATAGTAACATATAAGGCATCTTCCATTATGCAGGATCCAAAAGAGCTTCACAGACTATGTCAGCTGCTTCTTCATTAAATTATTACTGCTTCCCACAAAAGACCATATTGGAGGTACATTTTTACTTAGATATGCACTATACACTGCCTGTATCAGTTAAGTGGTGAAGATGGCTGATCCAGAAACTGGTACAGGCCAGGATTTGACCTCCCAGCCTATTGTTGAGGGTGCAGCAGATGAAGAAAATAAAACATTACTTCCTTGGTGAGAAAGAGAGGGAGGGAGAAGACAAGGAGAAAGTGAGAGCACATAAGAGAGAAGACTGCATTCAGAGACTTGATTCAAGATTTCTTTTTGTAGTTTGCTCAGCTGTAGGCCCCCTTCAGGTACTGAAGATTATAAGGTCTCCCTGGAGCCTTCTCTTCTCCAGACTGAACAGCCCCAAATCTCTCAGCACGTCCTGATAGGAGAGGTGCTCCAGCCCTCAGATCATCTTAGTGGCCTTTCTCTGGACTTTCTTCATAAGCTTCATGTCCTTATTTTGGGGACTCCAGAACTGGACACAGTACTTCAGGTGGGGTTTCATGACATCAGAGTAAAACGGGGAGAATCACCTCCCTTGACCTGCTGGCCACACTTCTTTTGATGGAGCCTGGGACATGGTTGGTTTTCTGTGCTACAAGCATATGTTGTTGACTCATGTTGAGCTTCTCATCCATCATCCTCCCCACATCGATCCATTCTCCACCAAGCCTGTATTTATGCTTGGGATTGCACCTACCCAGGTTCAGGACCTTGCACTTGGCCTGGTTGAACTTCATCCAGTTTACACAAGCCCACTTCTCAAGCCTGTCAAGGTCCTTCTGGATGGCCTCCCTTCCCTCCAGTGTGTCCACCTCACCACACACTTCGGTGCCATCAGCAAATTTACTGAGGTTGCACTCAATGCCTTTGTCCATGTCGACAACAAAGATGTTAAATAACACCAGTCCCACCCAGCACCAACCCTTGGGGAACACAACTCATCACAGGTCTCCACCTGGACATAGAGCTCTTGATCACCACTCTTTGAGTGTGGCCATCCAACCAGTTCCTTAACCAACGAGTGGTCCACCCATCAAATACATACTATTCCAGTTTTGATACCAGGATGTCATGTGGGGTTATGTCTGGGAGTAGTGAGACACTGGAACATGTTGCTCAACGAAACTGTGGAAGCCCCATACCTGGAAGTGTTCAAGACCAGGTTGGATGGGGCCCTGAGCAACCTGATCTAGTGGGAGGTGTCCTTGCCCATGCAGGAGGATTGGAACTAGGTGATCTTTAATGTCCCTTCCAAGCCAGAACATTCTATCATTCTATGATTCTAAGATTCTCTGATTGCATGATTCTGTGTTTTCTTGTTTGAGTGACTAATCACCATGATATTTTAAAAGAGCTAGGTTGCACCTGTTGAGACTATAATAGTTTCAAAGAAAAGGCAGGATGAACTACAGGGAGGGAAGAGAGTCAGGTGGACAAAAGCAGCTGGCAGGAGTTCTTGGGAGCCAGCAGGAGCTCCTATCCTTTGTCAGCACTTCTTATTGGCTTATTCTTTTGAGGCGTGTAAGATATAGATCTTATTTACTGGAATTTATGAACTGTAAACCAAAAAAAAACTCCTAGAAGGGACTTATTCTATCTTTGTATAAGTGAAAATAATCTGAGTCAAGGTCTGTATTTCACAGCTCTGTATCTTTGGTCTCTAAAATAAGAATAAAAGAGTGACATAATTCAGGTGTTTATTCTCTTGGGAGGGAAAAAATATTGATAAAAACTTTGAAGGTGGTCAGTTTTTGACACATGCTGGTATTTCTTCATATAGAAATTAATTGAAATTGGTCACATTTTTAAAGGACTAAAATAATTGAACACAGTTTTGACACGTATTACCATTGTTAAATGAATTCTATATTCAAACATATATAGTATTCAACTATGCTCTAACACCTAATAAAACTACTTGTTGAACACATTAATTGATGAAAAATGGTAAATTTTCTTAGATAATGGATTTCTTAAGTACTATTCACCCAGCTATAATACAGATAAGAGATTTTTACAAAAACACAAACCACTTTAGGATCCTTTGAAATGAAGGACCTACATAAATACTGTGCTCAATGTATGGAAGGGTATACATCAATCTAGCTCTATTGAAATTACCTCAGCTATACCTGTTTCTATTGATATTAATCAAACTCAGGTTATAAGCTTTGCACAGTGCATGTTGACTTTTCTTTTACATAAATGAACGTACCATGTGTATGCCCATTTATCTATCCTTATGTCTTCCTCTAACTTTGAATAGGATACATATATGAAACTCTCCATGCATCACTGAAATGCTGGCATCCATTGAGGTGAAAGGCAATTTCTGTTTGACAGGAGACAGAAACATAAACCAAAAGTTTAGGATAGGAAGTGAAGGAGAACTAATCCAGTTAAAACTCCAGGGGATTTCAAGGAGACAGAATAATATTTGTAGATGTGATTACATTTTTTTTTTAATTATTCTTTTCCCATGAATTTAGGACTTTTTTTTTCTATATCTTGTTGTTGCTGTATTATAGTAGATAGTTTTTAGTCATAAGTATTTGCTTTTGACTTTTTCAGAAAGTTATTACAATCGATGTAGTTTTGAAGCACTGATGGAGGTCAATTTTATTTAATACTTGTTGACTATAGAGCATAACTGATCATCTAAATCTTATCCTATTGCTCTGGATTCCTGATGGATGGCTGAAAAGCTGATACTTTTTAAAGTCTCTGCCCCCAGAAAATGAATGCCACAGGATGGAAGGTGAGTGCTAAAACACCCTACTAGTATTAATATTCATGCTGAAATTATTAAAAGTCTTGGGAATCATGGACATTACAAATGAAGCGTCAGTTTTCATCTTAGTCTAAAACAAATTTAGTGTTAGAAATAAAGAGCTGAAGAGTGTTAATAGCTTATTTATTTTTTTTACTAGTCAGATAGCACTTCTTGTATTCCTTCTCCCAGCCATAGCAATTGTCTGAATTGCCCCTGAGGTCTCTCTTCATTCTCAGCCAGGTCTATGCTGCTGGTAAGGCGAAGCAGGTGAGCACAGGCACTGTAACAGAAGGATGCCTCAGAGCCATTAATTTAACCCTGCCTCTATTAATCAAACAGCAGACATGTAAGGGGTCTTAAGGAAGGGTTCCTGGGCTACTTGACAGCTTAGTTTTGGATCTCCTTGCTTTCATGGGCACAAGGTTACCCTGGAAATCACAGCTTACTGGTTGTAAGCTCCATTTGGGCTTTATTCTTTTTCATCAGCAGTCAGTGTAATGACAAACTAAACATTCATCTCAAATTCCCAAGCCTTTCTCCTTTATCAAAACCCTGGGGTGCTGTGAGGAGGTTACAGGGAGGGAAGAAGGTCCTGGGCCTGCAGCAGCTTAGTGGGATCTGAACGCTCTTTCTGCACCCAGAGCAAGTGTTTGCTCCCACTCACCACCTTGGGAAACAACACTTGTGTTGGAAGCACAAAGACAAGGGGGGAATGCAATGGCTGGGGTGCAGGCATGTGGACTGGCAGGGTCTCCACTCCCCCAGGAGCAGGTTATGTGGCTGGGGTCACCCTTCCATCTACTGGGAAGATTCCCACCAGCCCTTCCCAGTGTTGAGTCTTGCCACATGCTTTTTAGTGTATGGCCACAGAAAAGAGAGGAAAATAGCTTGATGGTAGAGAATATAACTGTGAGGAGTGGTAGTGGCCACTGTGGAAAAGTTTCTGGACATGACTTGTCTTTAAATTTATATTTAAGCACCTTTTCTATACCCCAATTCATGTCCTAACCTTCCATATTAATTGTTCTTTCTGATGAAGTCTAGAACAAAGAGAGGAAAAAATAGTGTCTCTTGGCATCTGGAAAACAGACCAATTGAAATATCATCGTCGGTAAGTTCTCTCTACAGACACTAATTGATATTGTCTGAATAAGTGGAAGTGCCTGTCAGAGAAGCCTTTTAAACTGCTGACTTGTTTTCCTATCCAGTATACTTAAAATTGGCATGATGTTAGCTTCCCTCTTAGAAACCCTTGTATTTTGATTTATGAATGTTTTCAAATTTTTAAGATTCTCAAAAACGTTGTTTCACCTGTAAGTAGAGAGATAGCTTGTTTGGCTAACTGCCTTGGATGGGTGTGTGCCAGGTAATGAATAATGCCATGTTCAATATTCTAAATTTGTGTTCCAAATTCTGAATTCCGAATGAGCTGCATGGAAGTATACTGATAAGTGACTGATTTTTACTGCAAGGATTGTCTTGTTTTAAACTTTAAATTTAGTTGCCTTACTTTACTCAAAGGATTTTTGAGTGGAATGGGATTTAAAGTGATAGTCAATAATATTTCTACATCTTTCTAAGACTTGGAGGATGCCAAACTAAATAAAAGAGTGATAAATCAGTGCAATACATTCTGCAAAATAAAAGGACCAAAAGCATCCCTGGATGATCTACCAAGAGTTAAGCCAAAAGAGTTCACCCAAGTATTGAAGTACTAAATCTGTTGAGGTACTCTCCTGAGACCAGTCAGTCTTTACAAACAAACACTATATTTTAATTCCAGTGCTCCTCTTACTTATATTATAGAACAAAATAGAAAAAAAACCCAAAACACTAAAGTGAGGAACTCAGAGACAGAATTTACCAGGGGTGGGGGCAGAGCTACTGTGCTATTTTCCAGTGTGAAATTTAAGAAAACTGTGCTTCTTGCTCATTTACATAACCCTATGGTAGTTGCTGATTATTTAACAAACATTTTTGAAAACTGAGGTTAACAAAAACAATGTTGACAAAGAAATCTAGTCTTCTATTAGAAATTAAAAATGAATATGTGCTAAATTATATTTGAATATATGACTAAGGTCATCACTACATAAATAAAGGAGAGATAAAGATAGTTCACATATTTTGTTGCTACATATGATAGAGATTATATATTATTCTAAGTTCTGTTTTCTTCTTTAATTAACACCTACAGAGCATAGCTAGTGTCATATTTAAGGACGTGGAAAACTACTAAAATGTTGCAACTGATAAGCAAAATAACATCCAAAGTCATTAAAAATTATCACAATATATTCTGTTCAATGTAATAATACTGAACGGATAAATATTATTTAAGTGCAATTAAGTTGCTGCCTTAACATCAGTAAGAAGCAAAATAAAAACCCAGCTTGAATATCAAGAAAGGCATAGCAGCAAGACTGCATTTAGTCATTCGAATATATACTGTTCTGTAGCTGTGGAAATTATTGACTACATTAGCTACCACCGCATATTGTGATTGCTCCTGACTTCACTTGTAAAAAAATCCTTCAGGTTATTCTGGTTTGTTAGTAAATTATGATTTACAGAGAGTTGCTACCACTTTTGTTCCTCCTGGTGTTGTTTTAGTCCATTTTATTAAAGTATTCTCCATCACTGGAGTGCACTCTGGAGAAGCATATTTGCTGACTGTTAACATAAGAAAAATGGTCATCATCTTGAACAACCCATAAGCCTCAATGTTTTATTGGCTGAACCCTGCATGAATTCATTTTCACCTCCACAGTTTACATGCAGAATATTTCTACTTCAGGATGCTAGGACAAATGTTTTCCACAGTCATAAATGGCAACAAACAGTGCATGTCAAAAGTGAAAGAAAGCAATCACAGACAGACCAGATTTATTCCACTGGAAAAATAGTTAATATTTGTAGAAAGCTATTACTGACATTTTAAAAGGTAAATTTGCTACAGATTTTAGGGGCACATGCGTGGAACTATTTGAGTGCCATATACATCCATCACAACAATTTCACAGCAAGAGGTAGAGAGTAGAAGGTGTTCTAAAGGTGATTTGGTCACCAGTGATGCTGGCTCAAGACCAAAGCCAGAGATTA